TTGGCTGCTAAGCAAGAACATTGTTAAGTGAGTTTCGCCACATTTTACAAGTTGGCCACACCCACCCAGTCACATGAGTGTCAAGCAACTCTCACTCGGTCACATGGCTGGCAAGCCACTCCCACCCGGTCACATGGACGGCAAGCCACTCCCACAAAGCAGGCCATACCTACAGAAGAGGTTCTAAAAAAATTTGAAACCTACCACTGGGGGCAGGGGAAGCACAGGAAGCACTAGTGGTACGTTTCTACTGGTTTGGATCGGTTCACCTGAACCGGTAGTGGTTTGGTGGCCTGGGTCACTGGAATAGTCAGCGCCCCAGGCCTGCCGTGCCCCCGAAATGATTCTCCTGGCAGTGCCATAGGCGCTGGCTTTTTGTTTTTGGCTTCTGCGCATGCGCAGAACAATTTTTATTGTACTGTGTATGCGCATGCAATGCACATCAAGCATACGCACTGCACACCAACAAGCAAACTGGCAGTACTGGCTGCTGGAACCCACCCCTGGGTCACGCGTACATGTGCGGGGATGGGACACACATGGGGGGTTTGCACACACATGCGCAGGCCTCACGGAGGTGTCACACATGCATTGTATTATGGGTGCATACACGCATTTTCAGCACGCAGTGATAAAATGGTTAGCCATCACTGGCCTATAACCATGCCTGGGACCACCACTTGAGCCACACACCCCTCAGAAATCTCTGTGCAAGGCTGAGTACTACATATACATACGGGGCGTATATTTCTTTGCTTTGACCATCCCTGTGTCCACAACGTATTTTATGCCTGCAATGGTGATGGAGGTCTCTGCAATGTTGGTGGAAAGAATCACTTTGCGATAACCCTGGTAGAAAGAGAACATTTCTCAGTTCTTGTTTTTTAGCTTTTCTACAATGTTCATTAAATATTGGAAAGAATCGGTTTATATCCCCGTTTTGGGTATAAGGTTGTAGGCACTCCAAAAGGCCATTTTCAGTTTTGAAGGCTCAAATATATAATACCCTTACTATAGGAAACTAATGACTTGATTTTAAATAATACTTTCTCCCCATAGTACTTGCCAGATGATTACCTTACTCCACCCCCACCCCGGAAGTTACACAAGTGGCTACCAAAAAAAGGGCCTTAGCTAAGAGCATCACTTGTGGAAATCTTTCCAAGGGGACCCAGACATTAATGTCTCTTTTTTATTGTCAAAACATATTTACTTTGCCTGGACATTTTCTAGTTAGAATATTTCTAAGTAAGGTATTCATAGTTTTCTGGGCTGCTTAAGGTATTTCATTGCTTTGTTTTATTGTTTTTAATGCTTTAAATCATATGGCTAATAGAGGTAATCCTTGACATATGATACAATTGGGATCAGAATTTCTGTTGCTAATCAAGGCAGTTGTTAAGTAAATCATGTCTGATTTTACCTGTTTTGACACAGTTGTTAAGGGAATATATCTGTACTTAAGAACTCTGCTTACTGGGGAGATTACAAATAGAATAAACAACTGCACTATAAAGAAATGTACTGCTGTCGGCCTTGTCAGAATGGTTTTGAAGGATCTTCAAAAAGGAGGTGAATCGCTCATGCACAACATGTGGCCTTAGGATCACACATATAGTGATCACCTTCACTAAATTATGTTATTGTTACAAAAAATGAAACATTGTCAAATATTGGGAAAGTAAACAGTCTCTTTAGAATCAAGCTTGACTCCCTCTGTCTAAATGAGTGGATATGGAATTAGTTTACTATTATTTTTTCCTAGTACTGTATATTTTTTTCAAATTATATTTTTCAGCCCAAAATATACCTACGGCCCTTGGATTTTCTGAGGTCTCTTTTCCAAGTACTAACTAGAGATGATCCTATTTAATTGTCTGGCAAATGCTAGGTGCTAGGTCAACGGAGCCAAGCATTTGGATTATTATTATCTCTCTATATAAAAATGGCTGTGTGTGTGTGTGTGTGTGTGTGTGTGTGTGTGTGTGTGTGTGTTCCAGCATGGACTTAGGACTTAATCTTCGTAAATGTCAA